CACCAAAAGTATATTTGGTCAAGAAGAGTCGCATTGTAGTATGATTTTAAGTGTGGAAGGCCTGCTCCTCCTCTGGATGTTGGATGTAATAGTAGTTTTGTAGTACATCTGGGTTTTTTAGAATTCCAGAGGAATTTAGAGAAGACTGTTTGTAGTTTAGAGAAGAAAATATTGGGAATGGGAATAGGGAGAGTGCGGAATATGTATAGAATTTTTGGTAATATGAACATTTTCAGAGTCGCTACTCGTCCCAGTTTGGAGAGTGTTGATGTACGGAGTGCTAAGATTGCTCGTGGAATAGATTCAAGTCATATTTTATGATTTGCAGGGTATAATTGGTCTATTGTTGCAGTGAGTTTAATTCCTAAATAGGGTATGTTGTGTTGTTCCCAGGAGAAGGGAAATTGTTTGGCTAGTGACGTTTGGGTATGGATAGCTGTGTGGAGATTTAAGATGGAGGATTTAGGTTCGTTAAGTTTGTAATAGGAAACTTCAGAATAATTTTGGAGAATTGAACGAATCATTTGGAGAGATTTATGTGGGTTGGTTATCATTAGTATGATGTCATCTGCGAATAAACTGATTTTGTGTTCAGTGTGGAGGTGGGTAATTCCTGAAAATGATGGGTCATTTCTTAGTTTTGAAGCTAAGGGTTCAATAAGTAGTGTAAATATTATGGGGGATAAAGGGCAACCTTGTCTGGTGCCGTTTGTGATGTTGAAGTGATCTGATAGTGTTCCATCATTTAATACTTTGGCAGAGGGATTGGAGCAGAGGGAAAGGATGGCTGATAACATCCAATCCGTGATGCCGAATTTTTGTAGGGTTAAACGCAAAAATTGCCAGTGTATTCGATTGAATGCTTTCTCCGCGTCTAAGGATAGTAGAATGGAGGGCTGTTTGGTGAATTCTAGGTTATGGAGAAGAGATATGATTCTCCAAGTTGTGTCATGAGCTTGGCGACCGGGGATGAATCCTACTTGGTCTGGGTGGATTAATGTAGGTAGGTAAGGGAGGAGTCTTTGGGCTAATATTTTAGCATATAGCTTTATGTCAGTGTTGAGTAGTGATATTGGTCTATAATTCTGGACATTTAGAGGATCTTTACCGGGTTTTGGGATAGTCGCAATTATGGATTGTAGCATTTCTTTGGGGAATGAGGCTGTAGAGGCGGCATGGTTAAAGAGCTTGGTCAGATAAGGTGAAAGGTCAGGGGCAAATCATTTGTAAAATTCGTTGGTGAAACCATTGTTTCCTGGTGATTTGTTGAGTGGTAAAGCTTTAACTTCCTTAGCGGTATTCCTGAGTGTAGCTCGGGGTACTTGAACGGTGGAGTGATTTCGTTGACTGGTGGTGCAGGAGGGGGGGAAGGGTAGAGAGGGTAAAAAAAGACTTGCGAGAAATGCAAGTAACATGAGTAGCGTGAATTGCTACTGTATAACAGGGGGGTTTGAACAAGCATAGACCATAAGAGAGGTCATGCTGAAAAGTCTCTTGTAACTTGAAAATGTTTGATTTGGGGCCGTTTGCCAGCAGTTGGTTAGGTAAGGGAGAGAGTGCCCAAGATGGCGGGTGTTTAGTAGTATGAGGGCTTGTAGAATCAGGACCACTCAGCATCCATTGGTTGCGTGTTGGGAGGAGTGGAGTGTTGAGATTCCGCCGGTATTAAGTTCCAGTTTTTTAGGAGATCCATGTCTGCTTCTAGATTTTTGATGGTGTATATTTTTCCATGTTGTTTAATGGTAAGCTTTGTGGGGAAGCCCCATTGATAACCAAAGCTCTGAGGAACCATGGGATAGGTTATGGTAACAAGCTTTTTGCGGTTGAGGAGTGTGGCTTTGGATAAATCAGCGAATAATTTGATATTTGCGTGTGATGGCGGAAGGGGTGGAGGATTTCTGGCTGTTGACATTATTTTCTCTTTTAAATGGTAAAAGTGTATACGTGCCAGTACATCTGAGTGTAGAGGCTGGTAAGAAAGTTGGCTTGGGTATTCTGTGCGCCCAATCTATGGCGAGTTCCATATCCGTGAGTGAGGGAATGAGGATTTTGATATATTGTTGGAGATATGGAGTCAGGGTATCGTTGGTAATTGATTCAGGTATGCCTCTAAATTTGATGTTATTGCGTCTGGATCGGTCTTCTAAATCAGCTCATTTCAGGTTGGTTTGTTCAATATCAGCTTCATGGTCTGCGTGTGCGTCAATCAAGTCGTTATGGGCTGTGAACATTTCTCCCATTTTGTTTTCAATATGGCGTATGCAATGTTCTTGTTGTTGTACCACATTAGAGATTTGGGATAGTGACACTGTAAGATCAGTGTGGAGTGTTTGACGCAGAGAAAGAAGCATATATCTCAGTGATAGGTTGATCAGAAGCAGGGAAAGATTCAATTAAAGATGGAGCAGAATTTTGAGGTAGAATTTGTGAAGTAAAGAGTTGGTTGTCAGGAATGGATTCAGTATCCAATCTGGGTCTTGATTTAGCAGGGCTGCTTGTAGTGGGAGACAGGGGAGGAGAGGACTCACACGGGTCTCCTGGGTACAGTGGTGTTCTTAATCTGGCATCCAGGTGCTGTGCTGCGATGTCTCTGTGACATCGCAGCACAGCACTGGCTCTGTGTCTGGCTCTCAGCACAGGCTCTGTGTCTATTCATGCTGCAGCCGGCGCCATCATGGCTGCATGAGGGGACAGCAGGGAAGAAGCTTGTTAGCTTCCCTGGGGCATTCCTCCTCCGTGGCATGGTAGATGAGGGGTTAATGTACCCTTATGTGTAATATGAGTCACTCTTATCCCCCTGTTGTTGGTGTATGTGGTGTCTCTGCTGACAGCTGGATGGAGCTCTGTCTCACACTTCCATCCTCGGAGCCGGCCACCCCTCCCCCTATTCACAACCTTTAAAGGGGACCCAAGATTTATTATTTATTTATTACAGGGACTTCTATAGTGCTGTCAATTTACGCAGCACTTTACATATATATTGTACATTCACATCAGTCCCTAACCCTCAAGGGGTGTACAATCTAAGGTCCCTAACTTACATTTAAACATACACATAAGTGGGCCAATTTAGACAGGATCCAAGAAGAGCCTGAAATGCATTTCTCACCTCCCGGATGTTGGACACTATCTTGGACCCTTGAAAAAGGCCATTGACCCTGAGCCCATTGATCCTGAAATAGAGCTTCCCAACTATTTTTCTGGTGTCTAACTGCACCACCAGTGACTAGGTCGTCAGAAGAGAATGACATGACAGAATATTACGCTTTTCCATCCACATTGCTTTCATACAGGGCGTAATCCAGATCTTCTGACCTAGACCCTTTGACTGAAATTGGTCCAGAAACCTGACTTGAAAGGGAGCAAGAGTTCAGCTGCGCCTACCTGACCTGCTGGAGGAAGGCAATTTATGCAGCCCAATCTGAGAGGTGAAGGATGAAAGATATCCCAAATATGGCCTGAAATAATTGCCTTGAGGGAACACGTGTCCAAAGAGGAGGCACCAAGTGCCCATAAGACATGTATGGGTGGCACAATCCCCAAAATTCCAGAAAGTTACCTGACGTGGAGCTCTTTGCTGGATTCTTAAATTATGTGCTGGCTTACCAGCAGAAATGCAGAAGCTAACCTCTCAGGAGTGAGCATGGAAACTGATTCTTGAACTTCAGTCTCCTTTTAACTCAACAGATGTTCCTCTTCAGGCAGGAAGCCAACTAACAGCTATTAATTTAGGCTTTACCTGCTAAGATCAAGAAAATGCAGTGATTGAATACATCCTTGAAGTCAATAGCATCTTCTAATGGGTGATTCCAAATCCTGGACACCTTCCTGATCAAAAGGGCATAATTTTGACATCCTGCTGTGACAACATGCTTCAATCTTGTAGAACGAGCACTTGATTCAGTCACCATAAGGTAAATGTCAAGCCGTATTTTGGAAGCAAATACTTCCATAGCTTTGCTTCTATTTAAAGGCATTTCACCAACCTTACAAAAGGAGGAATCAAAAACTTGGACAAAGCTCATCCTCTTTTTCTTGTTCAGAAGAGACTGAAGAGGATTGATTGGCTTGAGAAGACTCTGAGACCAGTTTTAATGGCCCTGAAACAAAGACTGGACATTGCCATTCTGCCCCTTGCAGAAGGTGAATTCAGCAATTCCTTTAGAGTGTCTTGACCACATGCTTTTTTAATTGTGACAACTTGGTCATCATCTTAACCACTGTCTGCTTGAACAAAGCAGGAATTATACAGCATGTTCATTTGCATTTTCTTTGGAAGAATCTGACAACGGTTGATTTGTCTGCCAGTGAGAAGTCTCAGAACCTTCTCAGAGTACCGTATTTTTCGCTCCATAAAACACATTTTCCCCCTAAAAAATGGGGGAAAATGTCTGTGCGTATTATGGAGCGAATATTGACCAGGCCTCTCCCCGTTGCCGCCGCCATGTTAGGGCCAGTGGAGCCCCCTCTTGCAGCGGAATGTCCCATCCCACTGCAGCCTATCCCCAGACTCTCTGAAACTCACCCTACCTCATCCGAGCCCCCTCTCGCAGCGGGCTGTCCCTGGACTCTCTCCGAAGCTCATCCTACCAGGCAGTCCCCAAAACGCTGACCCCTCAGCTTGCTCTGGTCTGCAGGTAAGGCCTGTCCTCGGAACCCATCCCTGCTCCTGGCATTTGATCGCAGGTAGTGCACCCCCTGCCTCTTCTAGCCTGCCTTCTGTAAGGTACCGTAAAAAATGTCAGATGCTGGGAATTGTAGTCCTTTTCTTATTTACCTTGATGTATGGCGCCATATCATTTGTTATTCTGGGTGGGGGGGCCCTTTTGGAACTTTATAGCGCCTTATATGATGTATATCCGCAGTCTCTGGTCATCTCCTGTAGTATGTCCGCAGTTTGTGGTCATCTCCTGTGCTATGTTCAGTCTCTGGTCATCTCCTGTACTATGTCTGCAGTCTCTGGTTATCTCCTGTAGTATGTCCGCAGTCTCTGGTCATCTCTTGTACTATGTCCGCAGTCTCTGGTCATCTCCTGTAGTATATCCGCAATCTCTGGTCATCTCCTGTAGTACGTCCACAGTCTCTGGTCAGCTCCTGTAGTATGTCCGCAGTCTTTGGTCAGCTCCTGTAGTATGTCTGCAGTCTCTGGTCATCTCCTGTAGCACGTCCGCAGTCTCTGGTCATCTCCTGTAGCACGTCCACAGTCTCTGGTAATCTCCTGTAGTACATCCGCAATCTCTGGTCAGCTCCTGTAGTACGTCCACAGTCTCTGGTCAGCTCCTGTACTATGTCCGCAGTCTCTGGTCATCTCCTGTAGTATGTTTGCAGTCTCTGGTCATCTCCTGTACTATGTCCGCAGTCTCTGATAATCTCCTTTACTATACAAAGTGATCCAGTAGCGCATAAATATATAAATGAAAAATGGTGAACATAAAACGTGAAAAATCAGTGTGTAGTCCAAAAAACGTCTGAAAGTCTTATCCACCAAAGGATTCTCCAAAATCTTCAAACTAAATCACCACGTGAAGAAAGAAAATGCCGTTACCTCTATCGGGTGTACACTCACCAGCAAATGTTGCCCCCACGCTCATGGTTGGCTAAAGAGGCTCAATCAATATCACCCAGTGGGCTGACGGATCAATCAGTGCCAGTGTCAATAATCTCCTCCAATCTTTATAATTGCCAGAATGGTGAATATTTTGTTAAAGGGGACCCCAAGGTTGGAGAACAGGAGTATACCATTAAAAATAAAGTTGTAAGATGACAGCCCTCTCCGACAGACTCAGAGGAGGAAATGACTTTAGACAAACATGTTAGCTAGGTGTCTCATCACACAGCAGAAGCAAAACAATGTTACATCTTGTCCGCTTTCAAAGTGAAACATGTCGTCACTTTCACACACAACGTGTAGCGTTTCCATTTTTTTTTCCCGTCTAACCCCTGTAAATGAAGAATAGGACTGCTTTTCGATTCAGCTGTACAGGGATGGCATTGCAGAGTAAACTAGGCCCTACGCAAAGTAGGAAAAAAGAGGAATGCCAAAGCTTAGTTAGGTCCTGGAAGCATGAGGGGGCGGGGCCCATACCTCAGCTGTGCTGACATGGAACCATCAGGGAAAATAGAATAGGAGGCGCAAATTGCAAACCAGAAAAATGTGAAATGTAATATTTTCTCCTGCTTATATCCATTAACCCACTATACATAGATTTATACAATGTATGAATCCTGATTGCATGGATGTCTAGATTGCATGATTTTCTGCAGATCAGAACTACATGGAATTACTCAAGCCAATTCAAAATTGACAAATCAGCTCCTGATATGCTCATTGGTTCATTACTTTAAAAATAGCTTTAGACTAGTAACTCTCATTTCTAGCTCTCTTTTCATGATATCTTATAAAAAAAAAATAGTGTACATTTTCTACACAGATCTATATATTATTGATAAAATTGTGCACCTATCAAATGCCAATCTTTTCAGTTAGCTAAAGATTTGCAATGGCTTTTTAAGACTTTTCAACCCTGTGTATGAAATCATAGTCAGTCAATTTGTGTGTATCTAAACGTCAAAACAAACACTTGTGTGTATCTAAACTCCAAAACAGATGAGGTGGCTGCATTAGTTTTATTTTTCCAGGCTGTTGTTCTTTTATTTTGTACTTGTGATCCTGCCAGTAGCACTATCCCAGTGAGTCAACACTCACTTATTGCACTGTATTTATGGAGGAACATCACTATCACATTAGGCTGCTCTCTTGATTTGGACTGCAAACACCTTCCCCTTGCCTTTTCCATCTACCAAAACAGGAGTGCCATCAATCCGAATTTAGTGTTTGCAGCTAAGTTGTGGCCACCCTGAGCTTTGATTACTATTGTTACTTGGAGCCTTTGGGTTTCCTCTAAGCCTAGGGCATTTTTACATCTGTCTGCTTCTGGGGAGTGTTCTCCAGTAGATAAGGCAAAATACAATGTTACAGGTTATGAGTAAATATTTTACTCAGATCAATTACTAGGAGATTTATTTGCAGTAGAATGAGATAAGTATTCAGGGAGCCAGAAGTGTCCTTTTCCTGGATAGGTTGTAGCTGTGGAGGGTACTCTTGACCTCCCTGGCATTGTCTGGAAGGGAATTAGCTGAGGCAAAGGCCCTTTGACTCCCAAGCCTTCTGCCTGGGGAGGTAACATTTCAAGAGCCAAGTCCCAAGGATTGGTAAAGAGCCCATGCTAGGGCCTGGAAGATAGAAAGTGGAACACCTTCAAGAAAACATGTCTCAGTTCATTGCTAGTCTTAGATTAAAGGCAAACATCTGAAGATTGCTTGAGTCCAACCGTAGGTAAACATCGCTCAAGGTGTGTGTATGAACCGTATTGTCTCAGATCCAAAAACAAAGGTGCCTGCCTGGCTTGCCGCTGAGATCAGCAGGAACAAATGAAGGGTAGGTTGCTGCACACTCCAGAAAGATGTCAATACTTTATTAATACATATCAAAAATAGAAAAATGAAATCATGACAGCACTAAGAACACAAGGAGATGAATGTTAATGCACAAAATAGCACTTTCTCATAACACCAATGTTATGTTATGAGTAAGCACTATTTTTTTATGTGAAGTGCATTAACATTCATTTCTTGTGCTCTCTGTGCTGTCATGGGGTTTTTTTTTCTATTTTTGATTGACAGCCTTCCTGAGTGTAGGCCATCTACCATTTATTTGTTCCAACTGAAGATTGCCGGTCTTGATTAACAGGTCTGTGAGAGGGGCCGGAAACTGAACAAATAAACCAATAGATTGGAAGAGTGGATGTCAGTGAGTGCTTTGGGGGAACAGTAAGTTACAAATAAGAATTCCAGGAAGGCTTGAAAAATCTACATGTTCCTTTCGGGGGTTAGTGCTACATTTACATAGAGGAGAGTTGTTATGTAGCTTACAGGAAATAGCTGGGAAAGTTAATAACAATGTTTGAGACTTCAAGTAAAGTGGAACTTTGAAAGCAAAAAGGTGTTTTACTGCACAAGAGGCATGCTAGGTTTCTTCTGCAACAAATGTTTCTTACCCTTTCTTTTCGCAAACTTCTTTAGAATGTACATTGAGCTGAACTCGCGTACATTCTCAGCACACATCTGTGCTAGTATCAATTAACTTTTGTGCACATGCATGGGAGTTACATTTTCCCAGACTGACCAATCAAGATAACCAAACATGTTAAACCCAGCAGAAAATCAAGTAAAAAGGTTGGCCGCAGTGAAGGAGTCTGCAGGCATCTCATTGCTGGAGGAGAGGTGAGGAATGTGGATTTTATTTCTGTGTTGAAGTAATATTAAAGGCAATTTAAAAATAATAACAAACATGTCATACTTACCTGCTTTGTGCAGTAGTTTTGCATAGAATAGCCCTGATTCTCCTCTTCTCAGGTGCCCTGCTGGCTTTCCCGACCCCTCCCTCCTGCCAGGTGCCTCAAGAGCAAGCAGCTTGCTATGGGGGCACCCAAGTAGGCTTTCTCTCAAGCTACTGTTCTGGCCATTCACACACAGAGCCATGACTCAGCCCTGCCCCTTCTCTCTCCTCATTGGCTCACTGGCTGTGATTGACATTGGCTCCTGCTGGTGTTTCAGCCAATGAGGATTGGGAGTCCGCAGAGAGCTGAGGCTCTCATGCACATCGCTGGATTGAGATGGGGCTCAGGTAAGTATAGGGGGGGGGGGGGCTGTGGGCTACTGCACACAGAAGGTTTTTTACCTTCATGCATAGAATGCATGAAGGTAAAGAACCTTGAACCTCTACACCCACTTTAAGTGCACAGGAATTTACAAATACACAAGATTTCTAGCAGGAAAATATTTTTTTATATAGTTACAGTAAATGTACTTAGGCTGAAAAAAAAGAAACCTAATACAGCCACATAATTTAAGAACTGCTAAGCTCAGGTTTGTATGGCATATCTAATTACTTCTCCAAACCTGAGAAAAGAAATTTGCAAACAGTGCTACAATGCAACAAATGTACTGTATATTTAGTCTGAATAAAAGCTGCAGTATGTTCTAACTTGTGTGTGAATAAACTGCTTCAGAAAGATGGCTTATCATCTGTAGTTTCGAAATGCTCTAGTGCAAAACAAGCCAAATGGCTCATTCTTACCAATATCATGGCGGCCTTCATGTTTACTCATATTGCACCCTGTGGTATCATTCGCACAACAACATTGCTCAGTGATGCAGTAAAAAAATAACATACTGCATATTTTGCTTTTTTATTCCATGGAGTACAGTGAAAGACATCATCAGGATCCTGCATATCACAGTTCTAAATGCTCTAGGCTGGTTTTATAATTCAAAGAGTTTGAGTGTTTTATACAGAAAGAAAACAGAGAAATATGTTGTATACATTTTCTTTGATTGTGTATACACATACAATATTTAGTAAAGCGATGGCTATACTCTAATCGTTTACTTAATGTCAAAATAATAACATCTTTACGTCAGTGTATATATATCCAATATACTGAAAATAATATAATCTCTACACAGTGATACATGCATACAAGTTGTATTGATAACATTTAGTGAGTGGCATCACTAAAGAAAACATGCAAAGACACAAATATGAAAGCTAAACTCTTTCTGTATTCTTAATACAGGCCAACAACTCACTAGTTTTTGAAGGAAGAAACCAGATAAGATGACAACACTAGAGCCTGTATTTAAAAAAAAAAAATAATCCTGTATTGAAAACTTCTATATCTGTTTTCTCACTTTTTGGAATCTTTAAAAAAAAAAAATCTGTAACTTTGCATGTTTTTGTGAGACAGGGTAATGATATTAACTAACAGCTTGCACATAAACATGAATGCTTCTTTTCTACTAGTTTATGTGTCTGTTTGCATAACAAACCCCTCCCGGTACCCCCAGTATTTCAATAAAAATACATTCTAGGCAATTATTAGGTTGCAGTTAGTTTATAATGATCATCCCACATTTGATTACAACAAAACCTTACTTTAGAGGAATTTATTTTTTTATTAAATCTGCAATTTTCCATGTTTTTCTGAGAGAGAGTCTGATATTGGCTAATTATTCACTTTTTCCCCAGTGTGCACATAAACATGAATGCTTCTTTACTGCTAATGTTCGGGTCTGTTTCCATGGAACCTTTTGAATGCATTCTACTGAAGTTTAGCAGTTTCAGATGGCCAATAAAGAATGAGTAATGCATGAAAGAACCATGGGATATTTTAGTATGGAGGAACTTTTAAATGGGATTTTTGGCTTCACAAGGTTGAATATGCAATCAATAGGGAGCCTATATGCATAGATTTACCTTTACCTGGATTTAAATAGCTGATCAAATGTTAGCAAAATGTTGCAAAAAACAGGAGTACTGGCTTGTGG